CCCTGAAACCAGACAAAAGACTAAGCACGTCCTCCAAAGTGCAGCGCTAGAACAGTGAACTGCATTTGAACTTTAGTAAAAAGCTGGGCACATAATGTATGGCAGTTCACAACCACTCCACACAGGCCGCTTGTTGTGGACAGAGGATCTGCATCCAAACATCATTTCCACAAGCCGAGTCTGACCTCGCTGTAGCTGCAGGGCAATCGGAACCTACAACAGCCAGCTGCTTCCTCACTCACATGGACTGGGGGAATTACATTGGGTACGCTGCTGTCAGCTTCAATCTGTTCTGCTCTTTGCCAGTCTGAGGGAAGCACTGAGGAGGGGAAGTATGGTTAATGGAGTTTTTTCTTTCACTGATTAATAATAATGCGATTTAAAGGAGGGTTTTCTCCTTCGAAGGGGAGGCAGGCAACCAGGCAACTTGTACCTCTCTCTCTCGCTCTCTCTCTTTGTCTTTCTCTCTCCTTTTTGTGCCATTTCCTTTCCCCAATCCCTGTTACATGACTGTGGACTAATGAATTAATGCTTGCCAAAGTGTCAAAGAGAAACATGTTTATTTCTTAATTTTTTAATCTCCTTCCAAGGACCAAACAAAAACTCCATAAATGTAAAAAGCAACATGCTGGGACAGTCAGATAAGCAAATGAAATCAGCAGTACCACAGACTGCGTCTGAAATGGCAGCCTATTAGGATGCCATAGGGCTCTGGTCAAAATAGTGAACAGGGTGCCATTTGTGGACGCACACTGTGACTCCTCCCTCCAGATGAACCTTTAGTGCTTCACCCAGGGAAGCCCATCCATCAGCCAGCCACCCATTTACCTGGGTTCATTCTCTATTTCCCTGCGTGTGTTTCCGTACACACGCTGTTCATTACAGCAGGAAGGAGCGGGGGAATACGTGTTGAAGTACCCTTAATCATTGTCGGATTTAGATAATAAATTAGCTGATGCTGCAGCCTTTGAGAAATGTAAATGAAAAAACATTGCTAAAATTCCACATTTTCTGTGTTGCCTTTGATAAGGCTGGTGCTGATGGAAGATAGAAGGCTGAATGGTGAGGGTCAAACGAGAATGATACACAGTACACTGCTGGTTTTCCAATTACATCTTTGATAAAGGGCTGCGGACATCGAGCTAAAACCAGTCTATTCTCTATGGGTGGGTTCTCTCTCTATGGGTGTTGATATCTGGGAAGGTGAGTGTGAGGTCAAAAGGCTTGATTTCATTGGTTGTCAGTTATGACACACTCAGAAAACACTGTCCACCTTGCTCCAGCACCAGAAGAATGTGAAGATTATAATAATAGATCACTATGATTCAGGCCCGGTCCAAGTGGCCCTGTTGATTGATGTGGAGTGGTGTGGAGCGGACGTCAAGCTGCTCATTGTGAAAAGCCTATTCTGGGGAGGGCTCCTGTGGAGAGGCCATCTTCACAGCTTGTGTCAGAGCTGACTAACACTACTCAGCCTAGCAACTACACAATCAGCTAGAACTGAGGCTGGGTTGGGAGGACAATGACATACAGACTGGTAGCTTCTAAAGTACTCAGATTAATGGTGTAATGCCCAAACGAGTTGGTTTGGAACAACACAGAAGTATGTTTCTATCTAAGTTCCATGTCCTCAAAGAGAGATCGAATACCTCTCACATCATACCCAGTCTGTTCCTGTATCCACAAACCTTGGTTGGACTATGAGGTAGCAACAGCAACAATATACTTTTTGCCTTCGCACTGGTAGACAACAGTGAAGGAGGGGAGAGAGGGAGGCAAAATGGTAGGAGATGTAGGGGCAGAAATAAAGGGATGACAGATAGGACTGGGATGTGTGTATATGAAGAGAGGAATACAGTGTGACCCCTAGGTGACCTCTGGGATGACAAGGTGTGTTGCTGAGAGACAGATGCCAATCAGTGTTGTTGAGCAGAAGGAAAGCCATTCTCTTTTTAATTCTCCCCCTCTCCCTCTCTCTACCCTCCTAAAAGTCTCCCCTCATCTTCATTCATATTGTAAACAGGCAGAGCCAGCAGCAGCTTCCAGCACTGCGTAGAGAATGGTAAATTAGCCCTGCACATTGCACAATACAAAACAATGACGAACAATGCAGTCAAATGAGAAAAGAATGGGACAAAATAACAGTGTGGCATTTATCCTTCTTCTTCCTCTCAGTCTTGCTCCATCTGTTCCTCAGGCTATGGGGGTGTGATTGCACAATCGCAGTATCTCGACAGGAGTCCCTCTGGGGAATTGTGCTCTACGTATATGGTGCAATACAATACAATACTGTGATTACAGAAGTGGGCCATGTAATACTTCATTTATATGCAGAGATCGAAGTATACAAGGTTCCAAGGCTATGAGGTTTTCTAATAACACTTCCATACGGAGGAAATATAAAATCATATGATTTATTATAGAACTATAAAATAACCCTATCAGAGGTGACATTGTATCACAACACAGTAATGAGGCTGTTTGTGCTGTGATGTCCTGAAGCTTCTCTCTATGATAGTATCTCTTAGAGGATGCACTAGACTACAGACTCAAGGCGTTGTACACAACGGACACCTGCTCATCTACTGAAGGTGTTGAGGAGGTCAAGGGTCATGTCTGTGTAAACTCTCACCAGACACTTCCAGTGTGATACTGAGCCTTTAGAGAAACTGCAATCTCTCACAACACCAGCAGCAGAACACACCTACAGATGTATGATCTTTAATTTTAGCCTACTCTCTAGCTCTAGCAATCTCTCACTTTACAGTAGCCATCGCTCAGAGATTTTGAAATGAATCGTGAACGATGAATAGTGAGTAAGTTACAGACGCACACATATCAAATAACCTCCCCTGTTATTGTAATGGTGAGAGGTTAGCATGTCTTGAGGGTATGATATTTGTGAGTCTAACTTTCTCACTCATAATTCATTCAGGACTATCCGTAATAATGTAGAAGTGTTTAGAAACATATTCTATTCTTATTTACAATAAAAGTTACTCCAAAATGACTCAATACATTATTTAACATTAATTTCTATTGGGCACAAAATAATCTGAAACACAACCAAAACAAACAGCAAATGCATCCAACAAGTTTGTAGAGTCACAAGCTGATGTAGTCATTGCGTGCTAGGAATATGGGACCAAATACTAACCTTTTGACTACTTTAATACACAAGTGAATTTATCCCAGTACTTTTGGTACCCTAAAATGGGGACTATGTACATTTCTAAAACGATTCCCCAAATATGGATGAAAATACCCTCAAATTAAAGCTGACAGTCTGTCTTTTAACCTCATAGTCATTGTATCATTTCAAATACAAAGTGCTGGAGTACAGAGCCAAAACAACAACAAAAAAGTCACTGTCCTGATACTTTTGGAGCTCACTAAATATACAGAGCAAACAAGCTTCCTGTTTTTGTTTATCTTTATCACACATATGCAGACTTGCTTCTGTGTGTGTGAGAGAGAGCTATATATGAGAGGGCGAGAGAGAGTGCATATCTACCTGTTTACAGTGTCAATAAGCCCTATAACAGAGAAGCTCTTAGTACAACTGGCCTCTCCAGAGAGTACTCCCTCCCTGATCAATAGAACACCTACCCACAGAGGTCTACAGAAGCCTGATAGGATCTATTGTGTGAGAGCACTGACCAGTCATCACTTTGATGGGCTGACAGGGAGAGCTGGAGGACAGGGTGAAATGACCCAGAAGGAGACTGATATGCTCTGATGTTGTGGTCATTACCTGAAACCTTCAACACCTGAACTGAACTCACATTGAGGCCCCAAAGTTGAGATTTGAGACCAGCAACTGTGTGATACAAGCAGAAAAACGGTTTGGTAGGCTACATACTGTACAGACATGCACAGTGCAGACAAACACATCAAATTGGAGACGCACCTACACACATAAGCATACACACGCTATTTACAGCTAATGATGTGCCTCTGGCATAGAGAGAATGGACGTTTCCATCACGTCAGTAGCAGCACCATTTTTCAGCAGCAGTTATGATATCTGAAATGACTGTCATCCTCCTTCTGGTGCATTGATGCTGTTGGCTTTGCTGGTGTTGGCTGACCTTTTTAATTTTTATTTCACCTTTATTTAACCAGGTAAGCCAGTTGAGAACAAGTTCTCATTTACAACTGTGAACCTTCTGTTCACTTCAAACCACATGGCCTCTTAGAAAAAGTATTTACATCTTTCTCTAAAGTGACTCCCTACTGGAAAACAATTCGATTACCATGAGGCGCTGGAGCTCAAAATTGGATTTACTTTAGATTTATCGCATGAAAACAATTGTTCAACTCAGCCATTGCCCACCAGTTGTTCTGAAATGGTTTAAAATCAAATTTCTTGTTAGTCATCCAGGCAATTATCAAATCATAAAACAACAGTTGCCTTAATGTCTCTATGGAATGGGGTTGGTCTGAGTAAATGGACATGAAAGCTGTACAGAACACTTAGATAGAAATGTATCATATTTACAGAACTCTCTGTCCTGAAGAATATGGAATCATCTTAACATTCTAACATTGAACAGAGACTGCATGAGACTAGCTGGTTCTCTCGTCTCTCTGGTCACTTACCATTTCTGGTCTACTATGCACTACCAATTAAACTAAGGGGCGGGCTCTCAGACACAGATTAAGGCTAGTCCAGGTCTAAAAAGCACTTTCAATGGAGATTCTCTAGTGACATGCTTTTGAGTCACCCTGCCCCCACCCCAATGGACATTTATCATTGCCACAGTTGTTAATATGTATATATTATTATTTAATTTTATTATCTATTTTTATTACATTTTTATTGTTTTATTTCACTTTGCTGTGCATTGTTGGAGCTCGGAGCTCAAGAATTTCACTGTACCCTGTAATTACATCTGCAACCCTGTACATGTGACTATTAAACTCTGTAATCTAATCTAGTCCAGGATTAGCCTTAACCCAGCCCTAAATGCACAGGTTTTTTTCTGACTCCATTGAAAATGGTGTCTGACATCCCTCTACCTGCCCTGTCTCCTGGTTACAGCAACCCCACAGCATCGTGCAGCGCCGCCTCATGGCGGGAAACATCACACAGCTGCGTGGCGTGGCCCACGTGGGGAGACCCTCGCCCCTGGTCGACAGCAAGGATGGGGGGCGCCGGCGACGCAGAGGAGAAGAGCGAGAGCACGGCTGAAGACTCCACGGAGGAGAGGGATTCGCCGGAGGAGAGCGAGAGGAGCCTAGAGACGAGGTCGGACGAGGAGGAGGAGGAGGACAGCAGCGAGGCCGGGGGGAAGTCAAGCAGCACGGCTGGGAACGATAAAACAGAAGAGGGGAGGAAGGAGAGGCAGAGGACAGAGAGGCCTCTCACTGCCCTGCTGGTCCAGTGCAAGGTATGCTTGAACACTCATCCTTCCTTCATTTTGGCGTCATGGGTTTTTTATGAACCTAAATTAAATCTCAGATACTATTCAGTTGCATTCCAAATGAAGATAAAAGAGGAGTGAAAGGGAGAGATAAAGGGATAGGAGGAGAGAGAAGCACTCAGAGAGACCACAGTGACTCATCATTTATCCAGATAATGTATTCCCTCATTGTATTCCACTGAGCCCAGTCTCATCAATTCTTAATGGCTTTGATTCTAGGGTTTGCAGAGTCCCCATATTGACCCTCTGCACCACTCAGACACTCTCATCACACTGTGTCTGTGGCTAAAGGAAGAGCTAATGTAACATACTGTAACAGTGACTCCTCCACATACAGGATGAACAACAGCCTCATAATGAAGTCAATACACAGCTGAAGACCCCATCATACTAACATCATAAGATAATTATACAAACAAAATTGGTGGAATCAATCTATATGAAAGATGGAAAGGCAAACCAGTAATGCAAGTGCACTGAGTTCACTGCCTACATAATTCATTTCAGTCAATGAATAGCATTCATTAAGATGTTATTAGAGAACATGAGCAAACATACCATCCAAGTCATTTCTGACTCAGTATGTTCAAGCTATATTATTTACATTTACGTTTTACATTTACGTCATTTAGCAGACGCTCTTATCCAGAGCGACTTACAAATTGGTGCATTCACCTTATATAAATTACAATATTATTTTTGGGGGGTTGGGGTAAGGGGGGGTAGAAGGATTACTTTATCCTATCCCAGGTATTCCTTAAAGAGGTGGGGTTTCAAGTGTCTCCGGAAGGTGGTGAGTGACTCCGCTGTCCTGGCGTCGTGAGGGAGCTTGTTCCACCATTGGGGTGCCAGAGCAGCGAACAGTTTTGACTGGGCTGAGCGGGAACTGTGCTTCCGCAGAGGTAGGGGGGCCAGCAGGCCAGAGGTGGATGAACGCAATGCCCTCGTTTGGGTGTAGGGTCTGATCAGAGCCTGAAGGTACGGAGGTGCCGTTCCCCTCACAGCTCCGTAGCGTTATATCTGCACACAACCCACATACTGCAACTTAATAATTGGACTAACTCTAAAACAACATACTGCACCCACCCACAAGTACAGGCTCAGACTGTTAAAACAACACCTACATACACGAGACTAACCAAGCATCAACTCCACTGAGAGGTACAGAAATATACCCACAATGAAATGAGTTTAACCTTGGGGAGTGGGTGGGCGGGCGGCAGAGACTACTGTGTTCTCTCCCTCCTCCAGATCACTTCACCTGAGTCACTCTATACACCAAGGATGACTGCCACACAAAAAACACCCACTCAGCTGCATCATTTCTAATTGATGTCATGTCATCTCAAGGTAGTGTTGTGCGTATTTCCAATGTCATCAGTGTTATCTAGCAGCATTTAACTGACTGGCTTTCTGAATCATACCTGCCTGAATCATACCTGTGAGAGCATTCGAGGTTCCAACAAATCAATGTGGTTTGGGATAGACAGAGCTTTGTTGATGAACTCATACACGTACAGTGCCTTCAGAAAGTATTCATACCCCTTGACCTATTCCACATTTTGTTGTTACAGCCTGAATTCAAAATGGATTAAATAAATACAAATTCTTACCCATCTACACACAATACACCATAATAAAGTGAAAACAAAATTTCATAAGTATTCACACCCGAGTCTATACTTTGTAGAAGCACCTTTGGCGGCGATTACAGCTTAGAGTCGTCTTGGGTATGTCTGTATCAGCTTTGCCCATCTGAATTTGGGGATTTTTCTCCCATTCTCCCTTGCAGATTTTCTCAAGCTCTGTTAAGTTAAATGGGGAGTGGCGGTGAACAGCAATCTTTAAGTATTTTCACTGATTTTCAATGGGATTCAAGTCTGGGCTTTGGCTTTGCCACTCAAGTACTTTCACATTCTTGTTCTGAAGCCATTCCAGCGTTGCTTTGGCTGTATGCTTGGGGTCAATGTCCTGTTGGAACGTAAATCTTCGCCCCAGTCTAAGGTCATTTGCACTCTGTAGCAAGTTCTCATCAAGGATTTGCCTGTATTTGGCTCCATTCATTGTTCCCTCTATCATTACCAGTCTCCCTGATGCTGAAAAGCATCCCCATAGCATGATGCTGCCACCATCATGCTTCACGGTAGGGATGGTGTTAGACGGGTGATGAGCTGTGCCTGGTTTTCTCCAGACATAGCGCTTTGCATTCAAGCCAAAGAGCAATTTTTGTCTCATCAGACCACAGAGTCTTTCGCCTTATGCTCTCAGAGTCTTCCACGTGCCTTTTTGCAAACTCCATGCATGCTGTCATGTGCCTTTTTCTCAGGAGTGACTTCCGTCTAGTCACTCTCCCATAAAGCCCAGATTGGTGAAGTGCTGTATTGTCCTTCTGGCAGGTTCTCCCATCTCAGCCAAGGAACTCTGTAATTCTGTCAGAGTGGTCATTGGGTTCCCGGTCATCTCCCTGACCAAGGTCCTTCTTGCCCGGTTGCTCAGTTTGGTCGCACAGCCAGCTCTAGTCAGAGTCTGGGTAGTTCCATATTTTTTCAATTTCTCAATGCTGGAGACTACTGTGCTCTTGGAAACTTTAAACACTCTAGAAATTGTTTTATACCCTTCCCCAGCTATATGCCTCATCACATTTCTATCTCGGAGATCTACGGACAGTTCCTTGGACTTCATGGTATAGTTTAGGACCTTATATAGACAGGTGTGTTTCTTTCTAAATCATGTCAAAATAATTGAATTGGCCACAGGTGGACTCCAGTCAAGTTGTAGCGACATCTCAAGGATGACACAAGGAAATTGGATGCACCTGAGCTCAATTTGGAGTGTCATAGCAAAGGGGTGTGAATACTTACAGTACCAGTCAAAGGTTTGGACACACCTACTCATTCAAGGGTTTTTCTTAATTTTTACTATTTTCTACAATGTAGAATAATAGCGAAGACATTAACACTATGAAATAACACATATGGAATCATGTAGTAACCAAAAAAGTGTTAAACAAATCAACATATATTTTATATTGTTGATTCTTCAAAGTAGCCACCCTTTGCCTTGATGACAGCTTTGCACACACTTGGCATTTTCTCAACCAGCTTCACCTGGAATGCTTTTCTAACATTCTTGAAGGAGTTCCCACATATGCTGAGCACTTGTTGGCTGCTTTTCCTTCACTCTGTGGTCCAACTCATACCAAACCATCTCAATTGGGTTGAGGTCGGGTGATTGTGGAGTCCAGGTCATCTGATGAAGCACTCCATCACTGTCCTTCTTGGTCAAATAGCCCTTACACAGCCTGGAGGTGTGTTTTGGATCATTGTCCTATTGTAAAACAAATGATAGTCCCACTAAGCACAAACGAGATGGGATGGCGTATCGCTGCAGAATGCTGTGGTAGCCATGCTGGTTAAGTGTGCATTGGATTCTAAATAAATCACAGACAGTGTCACCAGCAAAGCACACTCACACCATCACACCTCCTCTTCCATGCTTCACGGTGGGAACCACACATGCGGAGGTCATCCGTTCACCTACTCTGCATCTCACAAAGACACAGTGGTTGGAACCAAAAATCTCAAATTTGGACTCATCAGACCAAAGGACAGATTTCCACCAGTCTAATGTCCATTGTTTGTGTTTCTTGGCCCAAGCAAGTCTCTTCTTCTTATTGGTGTCCTTTAGTAGTGGTTTCTTTGCAACAATTCGACCATTAAGGCCTGATTCACACAGTCTCCTCTGAACAGTTGATGTTGAGATGTGTCTGTTACTTGAACTCTGTGAAGCATTTATTTGGGCTGCAATTTCTGAAGCTGGTAACTCTAATGAACTTATCCTCTGCAGCAGAGGTAACTCTGGGTCTTCCTTTCCTGTGGCGGTCCTCATGAGAGCCAGTTTCATCATAGTGCTTGATGGTTTTTGCTACTGCACTTGAAGAAAGTTCTTGAAATTTTCCGGATTGACTGACCTTTATGTCTTAAAGTAATGATGGACTGTCGTTTCTCTTTGCTTATTTGAGCTGTTCTTGCCATAATATGGACTTATCTTGTCACAACACAACTGATTGGCTCAAACACATTAAGGAAAGAAATTCCACAAATTAACTTCTAACAAGGCACACCTGTTAATTGAAATGCATTCCAGGTGACTACCTAATGAAGCTGGTTGAGAAAATGCCAAGAGTGTGCAAAAGCTGTCAAGGCAAAGGATGGCTACTTTGAAGAATCTCAAATATAAAATATATTTTTATTTGTTTAACACTTTTTAGGTTACTACATGATTCCATATGTGTTATTTCATAGTGTTGATGTCTTCACTATTATTCTACAATGTAGAAAATAATACAAAATAAAGAAGAACCCTTGAATGAGTACGTGTGTCCATGACTTGTACTGTACGTAAATGAGATATTTCTGTATTTCATTTTCAAAACATTTGCAAACATTTCTAAAAACATGTTGTCATTATTGGGTAATGTGTGTAGATGGTTAAGAAGAAACAAACATTCTATCCATTTTGAATTCAGGCTGTAACACAACAAAATGTGGAATAAGTCAAGCGGTATGATACTTTCTGAAGGTACTGTGTCAGCTGATCTGGCTCAGATAGCCACACAAGTAAGTGGCTAAATACCTCATCTAGTGGAATGGATTGATTCTCATTAGGAAAAGGTGAAGCCATATGTGACTCTCCATAGACATACTGCCCATAATTATTGGCACCCTTAATAAAGATGAGCAAAAAAGACTGTATAAAATAAATAATACAAATACTGAGCTATATTGTATGCTCAAACATTTTTTAAAGTTATATTCTTTCATACGAATAAAATTGCCCAGAGAACAAGATGTTTATTTTATTTGTAAAAAAAATTAATCTAAAAAAAGAAAGGGGTCAAATTATTGGCACCGCTGTTTTCAATACTCTGGCACCCTCCCCTTGCGAGGATAACTACACTGAGCCTTTTTCTAAAATGTTTTATGAGATTGGAGAACCCGTTGGGAAGGATCTTAGACCATTCCTCCGTACAGAATCTTTCCAGATCCTTGATATTCTTCAGGTGCTAGAGTATTGAAAACAGGGGTGGCAATAACTTTGAGAATTAACATTTTTTAAAATATCTTTCTCTGAACAATTGTATTAGTATAAAATATTATAATCCGACACACACAGCAATGTTGGAAGTGCGAGACACTGTGTGTGGTGTTTGAAGTAAGCGTTCCGCCAGGGAACATTCCATGGGGCTCAGCTTATCTTTGATCTTGTTTGTGGCTTGTTTAGATCTGTTTTTTAAGCAGCTAAACGCTCCATAGTTACCAATTAATTCCGGAGCCATTTTTTTACTTCACAGAAAGGGAGACAAAAACACATGTTTGCAGGTCTGCTGATAAGCCTGGCCACGAGAAGCATGCAGGGACTAAGGGGGGAAGCTCAACTAACACCATATTGTGTGTCGGGGACTACATTTATACACACAGCCACAGCAATGGGATTTGATGTCCTAGTGGGCAAAAGTCTTTCATCTAGGAGGTAAAAACGACCTAGAGCCAAGTCGATGTATGTACTGTGATACACAGTGATAATATGGCAGGAAAAAGACATGTGAAAACATGCTTTTCTAAGGATGTTTTATCCACCCATCCAACCTTTATCCATCTTTCCATTCACCTATCGAAACCATTCATTAGAAACATGGTGGATGTTAGCGAAGGCTTCCTGAAAACATGTTTGACTGTTTAAGACAACATGGTGAATGTTAGAGAAGGCTTGAGATGAGGTACACTCAGAAACCTCAAGGTAGTACTGCTGACACAGCCAGGACACAGAGGTTATGTCACTAGGTTGTGTTCACTCGTGTTCAGGGGAGCATATCATTATGTGTCCACTCAGTGTCTCTCCCTCTCCATCGAGAGGGGGCGGTGGTGACATCTTGTTCAGTTCTCACTCACGGGGATCCACCATATGCTGTGAAGTGTGAACATGTTTTAAATCCTCCCTCCAGAGTTGCGTGTTTTCACCAACATTGCCTGTTCTCCCTTCCACTCGAAGAAGTGTGATATGTTATATTCTAAGAAGAGCCTTGTGATTTACAACAGAAACTTCATTATAGAACATTTTACATTTAAGTCATTTAGCAGACACTCTTATCCAGAGCGACTTACAGGAGCAATTAGGTTTAAGTGCCTCGCTCAAGGACACATCGACAGATTTGTCAACTAGTCGACTCGGGGATTCGAACCAGTGCTCTTTCGGTTACTGGCCCATTGCTCTTAACCACTAGGCAACCTGCCACCAGGCCTCTGCAGTCATTATAATCTGCCGCAATGTCTGCTTCCCCTTTACTGTGAATCACTGCATTGTGACATGAAGTGCCCTACGGCGGAACCACTGGGAGATGTGGAGGAGGATAAAGGACACCCACCCTGGCTGTTAGCAGCTCTGCTGGTTGGGTGAACACACACACACACAGGCTGGATGACAGGGAGTGAGACAGATAGGATACTTTAGGTACCCAGGAGAAGACAGCACTGCTGAAACACAGGATCCTCACTTCAGAAGTGTTGTTGTGTTGTTCACTGTTCTAAGGTTCTGGCTCAGAAGACAACATCATGTTGCTCTTGGACATAAGATGTTGCTGTTGAGCATAATGGTTTTGGACTATGCTCTTATTTTCAAATCAGGAACTGACCGGTTCGCTGATTAGTTGAAGAATATTCTGCAGGCTCTGCTGATTGGGCTAATATTTCACTGTCTAGTAATGTTTTCAGGATTATAAAGGCATGGAGAGGCCTCAGATAACATGGGATCATCATCTTGTTCAGAAAACAAGCACAGTCAGTTGCTCTTATGGTCGAACTAATAGTCAACACATCCACTGGAGTGAGACTAAAGATTCCATAGGTGTTTTTTTCTAAACAGTCATGGTTGGTTTAGTATTATCACTAACCATGAGGCAGAATAGCCAAAGTCCTGAATCATCAGCACAGGCATGGTCTAATAGTCTCTGACTCAGACAGAGGATCAATATCAATGTGGTTGCATATAAACAACTATGCCAAACCTAGAAAACACCTAGTCTTAAACACTACCTGTAATTGGTTGGGAAATGTGGCTTAATGGACTACTAGAATAAATTTTACCAAAACTCTAGAGTCGATAAGCCTTTAATTCAGACTTTATATCGTAGTTTGGCAGTTTTACAGGCAGGCACTTGGCAGGCGTAGCAGAGCTGTTGGGACCCATTTGATGAAAAGCCTTTTGTAAGCAAACAGATCAATGTATCTCACTAAAGCTGCAGGATAAATATACTTGTTCCTGTCTTCTGTTCTCTCCTTTGTGGGAGTATAAGTGTGTTGACTATAAGAGATGTAAGCTGTCAGTTAACACAGTAGTTGTTCTGTTGTGTTTCCACAGTGCTGTGACACAGAGGTGAAGGCTTCCATCAACACTGGGAGTCAACACAACCACATCTCCAGCTCCTGCTGCAGGAGGCTTGGGTGAGAGGCCTTATTAATCTCCCTCCCTCCCTCGCTCTCTCTCTTTCTCTCTCTTTCTCTGTCGACCTCTACCACACCCACACCCATCACATAGCACTCCTATTTGTCCAGGTTTGCCAACTAGCACCGAAATACAGAACGTCAACAAACACATTCGAGTTCCGCAGGCACTCACACAACCACAACAATCTCCACCAACATCAAACTGCACCGGCATCAACAAACTCTACCATGGCCGTGTGTGTGTGTTGCCAGATTGGTTCCCACCCAGGAGGGTCCACCCTGTGATCAGACAGAGGGCCAGGGCTCTGTGAGGGGGCTGCAGCTGCAACTGGGTAGACAGAGTGTCCAGTTCTCTGCCCATGTCACAGGTAAGGAAGGGGACATCACATATTACATCACATAAACATTTAAAGCAGCATTGCAGCCAGTTGTAATGACTGTCAATTAAGCAAGAGAGAGTCCTACTCATACATGACAGTGTCAATGAAATGCTTTAGTTTTTCTTTCTCTGTAAACATACATTCTGTTCCGCATTATCTGGACTGTAGGCGTGACAAACAACATTGAACCGAATAATGCTACGGATTGGATATGTAAACGTGATTATTTTCCACACCATCAAGGTTACTTCCCTTCACCAATGTCAATACAAAACCCCTTGGTGAAAAGCGGCCAACATAATCAGTGCCTAGATCCAACGCTGTGTTTCAGACAGTAACGTTAACAGACGGTAATAGATTTGCTTACTGGCTGTGTTATTTTTGCATGCTTGCCCTATAATGGCAGCTGTCTTAAAAGGTGTTGGAGATGTGCTTGGCAGCCAATGTGTGTGTGAGAGCGTGTGTGTGTGTGTGTGTGTGTGAGAGAGAGTGAGTGTGTGTGTGTGTGTGCTCAGTATGCAGCATGTGCTCCTGACCTTTCCTATTCACAAAGACAAATAACACTGAGCAAGCAGGGAGAGATGGTTGAACACACAATGGTTGAACACACACACACAGAGCATGCACGCACACACACACACATACATACATACACACAATCTCACACACACACAATGCAGATCGGATAATTGAGATGTGCTGATGATTCCTGTTAGATTTGAGCTCATTTATGCAGTGTTAATGAATCATAGTCAGCGGGAGAAATGGCGGGTTCGAAATTCACTGTTTCTTATTCTGCCCTCTCTCTCTCTCTCTCTTTTCCTCTCTCCGTCTCTCCTTCTCTCTCCTTTTCCTTCTCTCACTCTCCCCACTCTCTCTCTCCATCCCTTCCACAGAGGATGAGGTGTTTGAGCTGTGCCTGGGACTTCAGACTCTGCAGGAACTCAGAGTAAGCCCTCATTAGTGTTGCAAATACGTAAATGCTGTGTTTTATCTGTCATCTTCCCTAAATCTCCCCCAACTTGAACTTTACAGCTAATGAAAATTGCTGCTAAAAATAATCATAAGGAAAAATGAAGCAGACATTGAGCTGTAGCAATTAGATTATGCAGAGACCTTAGTAACACACTGAAGATGCCGGTTCCTATCAGAACACATCAAGTAATACCTCGTTAAGACGGAGATGGAGACAGACAGGTTTGTGTTATGTTATCTGAGGGTTACGGCTGTCTGCTGGCGTTGCCTGGTGAGGACAGGGCTGCAGGTGAAAGCAGACAGATACGACAGCATTCAGATCAGCACATCTCACTGAGGAGGTTTAGAATGCTGCCATTTCCCCAGGATATCCCAGGAAATGGCAACACAACGTGACAGTCAACAAACAGAACAGGAGAGGAAAACACATGAACAGAATTCTGTCTAAGAGGGTCTGAAAGGGAAAGTGGAATTAGGCACCAGACTAATTGCAACCATTTCTCACAGAGAATCCAATTAATTAGACTTTAAGGGTACACTGGAAACCAGATCTACAATTACGCAAAAGCACCCCTGGAGGATCCGCGATACCGGAGACAATTTTCCTTCCAAGTGCACCCAGTCTCAGTATTCTCCTCCCTCTGCAAAACTCAAGATGGGAACATTAACTCAATTTAATCATAGCTGAAAAGTTTTCAAAATACTCCTTAAATAGTTCGGTGGCTTGGAAAAAAGGGTGAATCCTAATTGAATTATCACGTATGCCTGCGAGGAAAGATACCCATACATGGAGATGGAGGAAGCCTGGATTTACAATTATAGACAACTGTTAGAACAGAGACAAAATGTTCAGTTTAGTCCCTGGGCCGTTCTGGTGACCTGGAAGTAAAACCACAGAGCTCAGTGGAGTCTGTCAGGCCCCAATGGAAAGCAGAGAGCTAGACTCAGGTGCATCTCACAGCCATTGTGTGAATTGTGATCACATATGCATGCACACTGGGGCATGCTTAATGTTGTGCAACATTGCATTGAGCCCCTCAAGAGAACCATTTGGATGGAAAAGTACATAACTGATCTAAAAAGAGTAGTGTCTACCTTTAAGGTCACCATGTGCAGACCAATTGAACCGCTATTTGGAGCAGCCGCGGCGACCTTTCCGAGGATATCGGTTTACATAACGCAATCAACATTCTGTTGTCTAAAATGGCACTTTGTTGGATGAGTTTCCATGGCATCCACTCCATTCTATCTGTGGTAGAGTTGAGGTTAAACCATGTTTTGACCCTTTGGTCAGTCACGGTCACCCAACTGATGTCTCCCATATCTATCCTTTATCTCCAGTGCTGTATGGACCTGAGCAGTAGAGTCCTGAAGCTCCAGGGCTCAGGGGAGGAGCTGCCTTTCCTGGAGCCGCCATTGGTCAGCCAGTGCCATCATCATGACAGCAATGAGAATGTGTGACCCTGGCGTGTCACAAACTCCCAGCTGTCCCGCGCCCTCCTCTGATTGGCTGGAGCTGACAAAACATGATGCGGTCCGAATCTGGACTGTCCAATCAGTGTCTCGCACTGCCAGCAACATGGATGAACACCCCAATTCTATTCAGTTTACACCACTGTGTTTGTTTCTGTGGAATTAAGACATTACCATGATGTAACAATCTTCATAATGATGTACTTAATCAAGCTGTTTTTAATCTGCCAGACAGTGCATCATTGTTCAATACACTCTTAGAAAAAAGGAATCCAAAAGGGTTATTTGGCTGTCCACATAGGAGAACCCTTTCTGGTTCCAGGTAGAACTATTTTGGGTTCCATGTAGAATCCTCTGTATAAAGGGTTCTATATCGAACTAAAAAGGGTTCTACCTGGAACCAAAAGGGTTCTTCTACCTGGGACCAAAGAGGGTCCTTCAAAAAGTTATCCTATGGGGACAGCCGAAGAACCCTTTTAGGTTCTAGATAGCACCTTTTTTTCTAAGAGTGTACTGAAACATGCTGAGGTGTCAGACAATGATTATCATTTGAAATGAACATATTGTGATTTGGAGGTATAAAATAATTTACGTTGATCATCAATTAAATGCCAAAACTGTTTGAAATCCAAACTCAGTTCAGCCTTGAGGTAAAATATATATCTCCCTCACATCCGTTTACAGAGTGATAGTCTTCTAGATGTCCTCTCATGCGTGCTCAAGAGAAACGGTGAAAAACCTCTAAATTGTTCCAAGTCTTATGAAACATTTGAATCAGCCTGTTCAGGACAGGGAATCCTGGAAGAGATGTGAGGAGACTACTGCTATTCCTGAACTAACTGCCTTCAGCCAGGTGAAGACCCTTTTCTCTCTCTCTCTCTCTCTCTCTCTCTCTCTCATTTCCCCAAATGAAGAGTGCTCCTAAGAATGTCACAATGAGACATCAAAACTAGTTCTCAATAATTCCACTCAAATGTTAATAGAGTCCTGGAGCTAGTCAGACGGACCACACAGCAAAAAGATCCAAACATTCCATCATTCTGCATGATTTTTTTGTAGAAGTCTGCTTTTGTATACGTCTGGACGTTTGTGTTTCTGTGAGAGTGTGTGTGACTAGGAGATGTTCGAGTGTGTGTACGTACTGGTGGATGTGCACTGTGTGTGTGTGTCTGTGTGTTGGAGTGCATGTCAATCGAGGAGGGGCTTTTCTGTTTCCATATGGTTAGTGGCTAGTGTTTCACATGGGAAAGAAAAAGGGATACGCTCTATCTACTTCTCCTCCTCCCAGCTCCGGTCAGAGGGCGCTGCCAAGACGGAGCCGACCCCAGCTGCCTTTCTTCCCTCGTCTTCTTCAGGGGACATTAATCACTCTGTTCTGAGGCTGCTCTCTGGGCCAAGGCCCTCATAGATGTTTGTTTAAGCATATTCTCTCTCTCTCTCTCTCTCAATTTTTTCAATTCGGGAAACAAATCTGCTTGGTAAATTTTTCCTCTTCTCATTCGTTCCACTTTTGCTGACGTACGTTATTCACTTTGACAAGCCATGTTTGCTGATTTGGTCTTTTACTAGGGACCGGCGCACCGGCACCGAATCACCATCAGACCTCTGCCTGTTGCCTGACTCACAGTTTCACAATACAGGGTCGACTACAGCGCCGAAACTGGCTTGAATATTTCTCATTATCCTTTACAGCACGGTTCCAGCTACTATGGTGGATACGTAACCATGCCAACCCAGTACTGTACAGCTCGGCTTGGTTCAGTTTGACCCTATGGTGTGAATCAGGCATGTGTGAGAGCCAAAAGGCCACACTATAATCTTCCCACTAACATGCATTACACTCTGCCTTGATCCATTTGCATTGTGTGGAAAATCGATGAGTGCTTCAGCAGCCCTCAGAAAGGTCATCATGTTCTGCTTTTACCATCTGGACCTGTATTCAAAGAGTCTCTGAGTAAGGGTTTCCACTAGATATCACAGCCACAAAGTCAGAATTGGCTATATCAAAAAGAAATCATGAAATACAGGTTAATTTAAGGTTAGGGTTAGGCATAAGTTTCGCAGTGTGGTTAAGGTTACAGTTAGATTTAAAATAAGATTTGAGGAATTGTATAAATAGGAGGGGTTTATGTACTTTGTGGCTGTGGTAACTAGTGACTACCCTGTGTAGGTGCTGATATCAGATTAGTCATGCCTTTCGGAGCATAATGGATAAGATTACAAGGAGCTGATCCTAGATCAGCACTCCTACTCTGAGACTTTTTGTTTATATGGGCCCTGGACTGTGCCATGCTCTAGACTGTGTACCAATATCCATCTGACCTCTAGCTCTTTCTACGGAGGTCACCCACGAATAGATTGCCAATGTTTCGTACTAGTGTACTTCCTAATATGCTGTGCGATGGTAATCGATGTATGAAACACATTAATTTGTGTGTTTTTTCTGAACAGTATTTTCTCTGCCTATTAAAAGATGTATTCTGGCTAGATATGCTTACTGTTTTTTATAGGTCTAATTTGCACACATTTACTATGCCAAGACTAAGATGTGCCAGTCACATCTTAAAGAGGAAAAACAAGACTAAGCTAACAGTACAACCATTTATCTGCTCAAAACCCATCCAACCACAAGCAGTATCACTAATATCCACCACCTGATCAACTGGAGGGAAGAAGCGAGGATGTTCAGCTTTAACTAAAACATGAGTCACTGTGCTGCCATTTTCTTTTTTAATAACCCACTTGTAGCTCTGATAATCTCATGGTTGTGTTGCTGTGACATCGCCGTGCCCTGTTCTGGTACACGGTGGCTATAAAAATAGCCTTTTCATGTTGGTGCAGCAGAGAAAGCAGATGTTCCCACAGCGAGGGACTGGGGGCTAGAGGCCTGGTGGGATGACTCCTTTGACCAGGGAGCAGGTCCCTGGCTGGCTGTGTCCCTGTGCTAATGCTAACATGTGTAACAGATGTGATCATACTATGTAACTCTATTGCATTGTGTTTTTAAAGAAAGGACTATCCAGCCAGCAATCCCTGTTGATTGGTGTTTATTCTGATGATAGACACAAGTAAGCAAATTAGATATGAAGGACAACAGTATGTTGATGGCTGTAGATTCGTTGTTAGTCGTTTGCATGTCATTACCATACTGGGTATTTTGTAATCAAACATCATAACAATGACAAAAATAGTACAAAATACAATAAATGTAAGTACCTGACGATAGACACAAGGAAGCACATTAGATGTGCAGGACCAACAATATGTTGATGGCTGTAGATTTGTGATTTGTGTGTTAGCATGGAAATAACTGTGAATAAGCAGGGAGCCTATGCGACCATTACAATTAGAGCAGGCTAGCTAACTCGCTCTTACAGCAATAACATACAAAAGCACATCCCAGGAAGCCTGCAATATCTAACAGGTACCACACACACATATACACAGTGCATTTGGAAAATATTCAGACCGGTTGACTTTTTCCACATTTTGTTATGTTACAGCCTTATTCTAAAATTGATTAAATACTTTTTTTCCCTCATCAATCTACACACAATATACCCTATAATGACAAAGCGAAAACAGGTTTTTAGACATTTTTGCAAATGTATTAAAAAAAAACAATTTCATATATTTTACAATAAGGCTGTAACGTGGGTTTCTTATTGGTGTCCTTTAGTAGTGGTTTCTTTGCATTAATTTGACCATGAAGGCCTGATTCACGCAGTCTCCTCTGAACAGTTGATGTTGAGATGTGTCTGTTACTTGAACTCTGTGAAGCATTTATTTGGGCTGCAATCTGAGGTGCAGTTAATTGCCGATTTCTGAGGCTGGTAACTCTAATGAACTTATAACTCTGGGTCTTCCTTTCCTGTGGCGGTCCGCATGAGAGCCAGTTTCATCATAGCACTTTTTGCGACTGCACTTGAAGAAACTTTCAAAAGTTCTTGACATTTCTGGCTTGACTGACCTTCATGTCTTAAAATAATGATGGACTGTTGTTTCTTTTTGCTTATTGGAGCTGTTCTTGCATAATATGGACTTGATATTTTACCAAATCTTCTGTATACCCCCCCTACCTTGTCACAACACAACTGATTGGCTCAAATGCATTAAGAAGGAAATACATTCCACAAATTAACTTTTAACAAGGCACACATGTTAATTGAAATGCATTCCAGGTGACTACCTCATGAAGCTGGTTGAGAGAATGCCAAGAGTATGCAAAGCTGTCATCATTTGTTTAACACTTTGTCGATTACTACATGATTCCATATGTATTATTTCATAGTTGTGATGTTTTATTTTATTTATTTAATTATTTTACTAGGCAATCAGTTAAGAACAAATTCTTATTTACAATGACAGCCTACACCGGCCAAACCCGGACGACGCTGGGCCAATTGTGCGCCGCCCTATGGGACTCCCAATCACGGCCGGTGGTGATACAGCCTGGAATCGAACCAGGGGGTCTGTAGTGACGCCTCAAGCACTGAGATGCAGTGCCTTAGACCGCTGCGCCACTCGGGAGCCCATGTCTTCACTATTATTCTACAATGTAGAAAATAATACAAATAAAGAAAAACCCTGGAATGAGTAGGTGTGTCCAAACTTTTGACTGGTACTGTATATATACATGGAAATGTACATAGTGAACTCGTACATATTGTAAATACGTAAATAGAATGCACTATTTCAGAACGTGACCTATCACTTTCAGGTCAATATCAGACTCTGAAGAATTGACGTTTCGCGATCTCCCCCTATCTGCAAACATGACCAATGGCATAATATGTCATTTCAACCAACCAATAGGAATACATAAACATCGAATACATATTTCTGCAGTGGCAAGTGGAAACATAACCAACCCTGTTACACATGCTCCCACCCCTTATCAGAGAGGAATCAGGGAGGCAGGCTGCCTCTGTTTGTTTATACCCCATACCAGCCCAGCCCCCAGGCAGTGCTCTGCTGAATCACTGCCACCAACAAACAGCCTTACGACTAGAGCCATACATATTACACAGATGTATCTCTATATATGACTGTGAAGGACTACAAGCCCAAAACAATGCTACTAGCAGAGGTCTCAGAACCAAATCAGCTTCAATGTTAAGGCTGTCACAAGATACAATTTTCTCACTGTTATCCATGTCCACAGTGCTGCTGGAATAATAACAGGTACTCCAGTACACAGGTTTCAGAATAACATTGCTAATGTCAAATTTGGAAGATAAATGGACCTCAGTTAAGGAAACGTCTAAAGAGATCAGTGTCAATTTAAAAAGCTTTTTTCCTGTGCTGCTGTTGCTGTCTGTTCTATGACTGAGACTCCTGCATCATTTGGGATTTAATTCTGTATATCAGCGGTCTTGTCACAAAACTGCCAAGTCCATTAATCTCATCAGGACTGTCTGTCTCTCAGTAACTGTGTCACCTGAGCCATGGGACGTCCCTGGCTTATTCTAGGTTTAAACACAAAGCGTAGACACACAGAGAGAAGGCACACTGCGGAGCTACATTATATCAAAGCCGGGTACAGTACGCCCCCCGAGCCCCCTACAGATAACCCAAAGCATAGTCATCTGTGCAAAACTGCAACTTTCCTTTGGAGTCAGTGCACAGGCCACATCCTGTCACAGCTCTAACTCGCCACATCATTTGTTCCTCTGCAGAGAACAACGGCATAATTCAAAGGTGTAAATGTTGAACACAGGAAACAGATATAGTAATGGTGCTCTCTACTGATGGTACTTTTCGGGGGTTTTGACACCTCCGGACTTCCGCCCAGCTATTTTCTTGCTTGATTACTTGAAAACTGCTGTGAACAAAACAGAAAACAGTGTATTATTATTAAAATGTATGCACACATGACTGTAAGTCGCTTTGGATAAAAGCGTCTGCTAAATGGCATATTATTTTATATTATATTATTATTGCTCACTTGTGATTCTGTTGGTCATATGGTTAAAAATACATGACGCTAGAGGCATCAGTGAGGCATCTAACTCTCTTTTGGCTCCCACAAAGTCTAGCCACTTCTGAAGTCTCTCCCCTCAGACCTGGAGTACGGTGTCCATTTTAGGACACCCTCACACCTCCACAAATAGACACTGTACCGGAGACAATTCTCACTTACTGGAAGGAGAGAGGCTCAGAAAGCCCATCTCCTCTTCAGAGCAGGGGACATACTCAGACACACTGGAGGAAATGCTGAAATAACACTCCCACTCACTGAACCATTACACACTGAGTGTCAGAGCAATCTCTCTCTGAGTCTTCATCACTACACATGGGGTCTATCTCAGGTTACATAGGCATTACACTGATGAAAGATGGTCAATGTGTGACTGTGTCCAACCGGTCATGAATGGAAGAGCCTTCTTTGCTTTTAAGCATTGCCAGGCTGAATAGTGTAACTATGGCAATTGAAAGAAAAGTGTTGTTTCAAATCATGTACAAGAAAGCACAATTGCAGTCAAAATTGCGGGCCAGTGTTGACACTAAGACAAGTCATCACATATGGCAGCTCCCCAATTCAATTATAATCTATTTTGAAATCAATAATCCCGTCTATATAAAGGGTATGAAATATATTGGAGGGATAAGATTATAAAATGCTGTGGCAGGGGGAATGATAATCCTATTTCTGTCCAGGGCCAGGTTATACAGGCTTCATACAGTATTATAATTGACATGTTACCTGCTCCTGTTGTAATAGATCTGATAATAAACAGACAGGTTCTCCTCCACCCCACCAACCCTGTCTGTCTGTCTGTATTCTGTTTGTCAACTCACAATGTGATGATTTGTCCTGCCTGTCAAAGAGAAATTGCTCTTTGGGTTTCAATTCCTCCTCTCTCTCCATCTCTCACTGCTGTGGTGAAGTGATGATTCTGTTTGGCACGCATAGGGTTCTCCTGTGGGTACCTGGAGGGTGGTCACGAACAGCCCCAGCTTACTGCTGCCTGAGCCCAGGAAGAGCTGCTGGGGGAATATTAATCGGGCCACACACACAAACACAAACACACACACAGCATGCGGAATGACACAGTGGAAAATCCCACAGGGACAGGTCCCCCTCCCACAGACAGCAACATGACTCCTTCCTGTCTGTAATGAAACATGCTCTCTACACACTGACTAGCAGTACTACAGGAACATCATGGTTAATTAAAAAAAACATTACACTGACATTCACATCAATGTGCGCGCCGTGCTTGGTGGATACGCTGAGTTTAAAATCCTCGCCGCTGTGATAAAACGCGCCGCTTATTAAAATGGCCACTTGTGTCATTCATCCTGCATCAAACCCCCGGGGGGATCATGAGTTTATGAAATGGTGAAGTATTAAGCTCGACACCGCAACGGAATTGGATGCCATTCAGCTGTGTCAAATGGCATGGTGGGGGCCGTGGAGGAGACAGAGCCTAGCCCCTCACATCATGGACCCTTGATGGCCTATAGAGATATACAGTGTTTGATAGAGCAGAGACCTTGAAGGGACAATGATGGCTGAACTGGAACATGAATCAGTCCCAGTCGTAGTGATCAGGCCGAAGGACGGGAGGGAAGGGGGGCTTCTTTAGTGTCACACAAGTGCTATCTGGGCAGATTGACCCGCAGCCAACCACTCTATACTATTAGCCGTGTGAGGAGATTGCCATGACAACCGAGTGACCTGATGGCGAAAGTGAAAGTTTTGAGGGGGATACTCCCTTACAGAAAAAAAGAATGATTTGACATGTGAAATCATGTGTTTTTGGAACATTTCACGTGATCACATTTTCACATGTGTAGTTTGACGTTATCACATGTTGCTTTACATGTTGTCACATGTTATCACATTAACTTAACATAAGGTCACATGTGAAGTTCATGTGGTCTTCCGTAAAGGCTGTTTGTACGAGGGGTGGCTGTCAGTTTTCAGAATAGGACGATTTTCTTTTCAGTCATAGAGAAGATGCTATTTCCTACAGTACATATTTTTAGCCATGTCTTTGAGCTTAGATGGACTCAAAGGAAATTTTTCCAAACCCTTTTATGTTGGATAAAGCTCTTATAGCCTAATGCCTTCAACTCCATATCAGATTTTTTCCCCTTCAGCTTTAACTTCAATTATAACTTGATTAGTATAATTTGTATTATAATTTGTAATGAAATTAAATGTACCACTTTCTTCTAAGATCATTATAGCTGTTGATAATTTTCCCAAAATGATATTATGTAGTGTAAATCAAATGACATGCTGCAAAGCAACTTCAATAACAGCAGACAAAAAATTTGTATATTACGTGATTATCCTTCATTTAAAATTATACAAATGCATCCATTATAGGCCAATCACCCATAGGGGGTGTTTAGAAACGTCACGCTGTCAGTTTTCATAGAGCCCCGGCCCTGATGATAGCCTCACCATTCTGTTTCATCACAACAGTTGTTCAACCTTCCTATGATTACATTAACCCGGTAGCCATGCTCTGTGGAAACACAAAAGATAACATTCTCTATCTCTGAGACAAAAGTCCTTCATCCATTAAACACAGTCAAAAAAAGTGTTGTTTGTCTCATGCCACAGTAATGGGAGCAACGATCAACGTAAAAACATAATCACAAAACTTGTTCAACCGCCTGGCAAGACCCATTAATATAATGATTAACAGGGAGGAAGGAGGACATAGAACACACATCATTCTACAGTTCCCATCGCCGGTTCATTAAATTCCCTAATGAACGTATGTGACAAGTTCTAACTTCTAACCTGGACAAGTGAAACTAAACAGATGTCAACGCTGACTATCAATATAACTGTAAAAACTACAGGAGAGTGGAGAAAAGAATAGCTCCTTTTCTTAAATATACACAAACACACACACACTGCCTGCGGGGACATTACCCTTGGGGGGTCAGTTCCCAGGGTCATCCGTCTGCTGCTTCTGTATTAGATAGTGTAACATCAAGCCTGACTGCTTCGGAGAAATATCAGGGCAAAGGTCAAATTCACACAGGATCCATCCCACTCCTCCATGTTGCATTTATTATACCAGGCCAGGGGTGTCCTATGTGGGAAATAATTAAATATGGAACCGATTGCTTGTCTTGACATTACTCTATTTTCTGGGGCTTGACACACGTCTACATAAAGTAGACAGACAAACACTTAAGAACATAACATTGGAAGATTTTATATACTGAATAACCACATAAGGTAGCAAGTACTTGGACTGCAGTCAGAAGCCTTAGTCGGCAGATGGAGTCAGACAAGCAATCGGTTCCATATTTAATTATTTCCCACATAGGACACCCCTGGCCTGGTATAATAAATGCAACATGGAGGAGTGGGATGGATCCTGTGTGAATTTGACCTGCTTTCTCCGAAGCAGTCAGGCTTGATGTTACACTATCTAATACAGAAGCAGCAGACGGATGACCCTGGGAACTGACCCCGCAGATGGAGTCAGATGTCGAGCCCAAGTGGAAACCAGTTATAGAAGGCAGTGTTTTGCTGTCCCTTCAGTGTTGACGCACAGAGACACAGGTCCTGGGAACCAGCGTGACACACTGACGTGCCAACCGTTTGACCATTAACGGTCAAAACAGGAACAAGTCTCGACAAAGCTGATAGGAATGCTGCTGACCAATGGGCCGGCTACATATAAGGGCATATATCAGCGTTGTATTTTCTCATGCCACAGTAATGGGAGCAACGATCAACTTAAAAACATGATCACATAACTTGTTGAACAGCCTGGCAAGACCCATTAATATAATGATTAACAGGGAGGAAGGAGGACAAAGAACACACGTCATTCTACAGTTCCCATCGCCGGTTCATTAAATACCTTAATGAACGTACAGGTAACTGCCAAAATAAATGAAACACCAACATAAAGTGTCTTAATAGGGCATGGGCCACCACAAGCCAGAACAGCATCAATGCACCTTGGCACGACGGTGGCCAACATAATGGCCTGCCCAGCATATCTATACATGACCCTAAACATGATGGGATGTTAAACATTTAATTCACTCAGGAACCACACCTGTGTGGAAGCACCTGCTTTCAATACACTTCGTATCCGTCATTTACAAGGGTTTCCCTTATTTTGGCAGCTACCTGTATGTAACTTCTAACCTGGAGAAGTGAAACTAAACAGATGAAAAATGTGTCCCTGAGCTTTGGTACATACAGCACTGCAGGGCCTTGACCCATCATCTCAAGGGCAGGAGAGCTCCAGAGCATGCTACACAAGAGACACCTGAGCCCAGAGTGTAGACACACACACGCTCGCGCACACACACTTTCTCACTAAGAGTCCCCCACACACACTTTGGGCAGCCACTGAGTCCTCCACATTTATAATGCATGAGAACCAGAGTAGACAGACTAGAGCCTGATATAGGATCTTCCCTTTGGGAGACAGGGGAATTCCCCTATAGACCCATCCAGCAGTCAGCTAGTGTTTACTTGTTGCCTCTACTTAGAAGTCCTCTGCAATACATAACTGACAAACAAGAGTACAGTCTTGCTGCCACGGTGATGGTCAAGTTACATAACGCTGTTAGTATTATGTAACATCAGTACCACTCCAGATTTTTGAGGATCAACGATTACAGAACAAAAAGACAGAAAGAATCGGACTAAAATGGTTGACATTTGGGATAACTTACAAGATCAAAAGCCGGGAATTAATATTGGTGGTTGAACCTATCGCTACATTAACTCTGTCAAACTAGCACATTGCCTTAGGGCAGGGATGGGCAACTTTGATGGGGGTGGGGGCCACAAAAAAACTGAACTCATCATGAGGGGCCGCAGTGGCTCGTGGGTCTGCGTACCCATATCCATACTCCCCCCCCCCCCCCCCCCCCCCCCGTGACAGCGAAGATAAAAAATAAAATAAATATAAAGAAGATTTTGCAATTTTATATCTCATTCCATGCAATTCTACTCCTTTTGTCATGGGTGGAGAGAATATTCTGCAGTTTTACAGCCAATTTCCTGCAATTCTACACATTGCTGCAATTCTACACAGTTTTAATATGATAACTGATGATCAATGGGCCCCACCCCGGTCGGTAATTCGACTATGCTTGCTACAAGTTTAGATAGCGATAGATAGAGGCCCTGCATATAACTATCCCGTTAGAAACATTGGTGCAGACATCCTCTTGAATATAGTAGATTAGCATTTTCATTTCATATAACCTTTAATTATACAGGTTATTCACATTGAGATACAATCTCCTTTATGAGCATATATCACTTCAATGTGTCTTCTAGACCCTATTTCTAAACTAGTCTGGTGCATGGAATACAAATAACTATGCCAGAGGGGAGATCTGAGACAGTGAGACAGCATGAAATAGATACAAGCTGAGCTAGGCAAAACAGACACGTTTCATAATAGGATTCTACCAAAAACATGAGACAACTAACAGTCAGTGTGTGATTCAGCCTTTATTCAGAGTATTTACATTAATGAGGAGAAAAAGAGAGGGGGGGGGGGAGGTGAGGGTCATGTTTTTTTTATCCGGCCAGCTTCTTCAGCAAGTGTCCATACAGCGTGTCTCCCACCAGTTCTCTCACGGCCTCCGTGTCTGTCAGAGACACAAATGATGGCCATGACCCTTGATCTTTGATCAGATACTGATCATATGACCTGTCTGTCCTCTGGCGGTATGGGAGCCTTCTGATCTAAAGGTTACAGGTTCGAATCCCTCTGAGGGAGCTGGGACTGCTCTGTATTCAACTCTGTCTTTAGTGGGGTTGAGTCAGAGTGGGTTATGAAATGTAGATGAGAGCACTGTTTTAGATGAATAATACATCCCAGCTGAGCCAATGCAGGAGCTCCCTGCTGCTCTGTGAAGCTCTTCTACCTGCATTCACTTAGACTGGGGAGTTTAGAAAGCATGACAATGGTTGCTTAGTGAAGGCAAAGCAGAAAGTGTGACATCATCATGCAGAAGCAGGATGGCATGCATTACGGATGGACCATTCACGTAGCTCGCCCCTTCATGAAAATGCATTAGGGCAGGATGTTAAATCAAGAGATGCACACAGGTAGTATGTAGTAGCTGCATGTCCTCGCTTTCTTGTTGAGGGTACAACTTTATAAGTGTTGTTAAAACACATATTTACATAGTAATGACATACTGCAGACAGGTACACAGGTTCACTTAACATAAATGTTTTAGTTTGCAACAGTAAAACACCTGGGAGTGGTGGTACAATGTAAATACCATCTGCATGGCAACACCGCTGAGAAGACACTCAGTCTATTCATTTACTGCTGAAATAAACACAAGCAGAGAGAGATAAAAGTCCCCACAGGTATAACAAATATGCCTCTCTCCTGCATTTTCACACAATGTGAAGTCAGAGAAAAGAAGCTTCTAGATAAACAACATAAAACACACCATAGCTACATTTACTTTACCCCCTTCCTTGTTATTAAGCAATGACTCATATATAAAATCTCAGTTCTGTCGACAGAGTCAGAGAAGGGGGATGTGTTTGGTTGTTATTTGTGATGGGTGGGTGAAGATGTGTACCATTGTGTGTGGAACTCAGACTTGGTGACAGGCGACAGCTACACACACACAGGCAGCGCTATCTATCAGCAATAAGCTGATGTCACACTGCTAGCTGGGTTTAGCCATAATGACCTCCCTCTCTCTAGCTACAGTAGATCTCGTCTGTCGCTCTTTTTCTCTCTCTAACATCTCCCTCTCTTTGAGCCTCTCCCTCACTCCCTCTCTCTTCCAAACCCTATATTGCCCTCTCCCCCTCTCTTTCTTCCCCACTAACATCACTATCTCTCTCTCTCCCCCTACCCCTTTCCCCTCCCTCCCTCCCTCACTCTCTCCCAACCCCCTCTCTCTCGCTCTCTCTCTCTACCTCCTTTCCCCTCCCTCTCTCTCTCTCTCTCGCTCTCTCCCAACCCCCCCCCCCCCCCTCTCTCTCTCCCTCCTCAGCCCTCGGTCTCCATGACCACTATGTGTCTCATGATGAGTTAGGTAACAGTTCTCTGAAATCGCAAAGAGGAGCACCAACACACCCAGAGGCTCAATTATTAACACATGCTGCAGGAACAGGAAGCTCCGTTCCGGCCATTATTATGAGCCGTTCTCCCCTCAGCAGCCTCCACTGGTGTCAGGTACAGTGGGGAAAAAAGTATTTAGTCAGCCACCAATTGTGCAAGTTCTCCCACTTAAAAGATGAGAGAGGCCTGTAATTTTCATCATAGGTACACGTCAACTATGACAGACAAATTGAGGAATAAAAATCCAGAAATTCATATTGTAGGATTTTTAATGAATTTATTTGCAAATTATGGTGGAAAATAAGTATTTGGTCACCTACAAACAAGCAAGATTTCTGGCTCTCACAGAACTGTAACTTCTTCTTTAAGAGGCTTCTCTGTCCTCACTCGTTACCTGTATTAATGGCACCTGTTTGAACTTGTTATCAGTATAAAAGACACCTGTCCACAACCTCAAACAGTCACACTCCAAACTCCACTATGGCCAACACCAAAGAGCTGTCAAAGGACACCTGAAACAAAATTGTAGACCTGCACCAGGCTGGGAAGACTGAATCTGCAATAGGTAAGCAGCTTGGTTTGAAGAAATCAACTGTGGGAGCAATTATTAGGAAATGGAAGACATACAAGACCACTGATAATCTCCCTCGATCTGGGGCTCCACGCAAGATCTCACCCCGTGGGGTCAAAATGATCACAAGAACGGTGAGCAAAAATCCCAGAACCACACGGGGGGACCTAGTGAATGACCTGCAGAGAGCTGGGACCAAAGTAACAAAGCCTACCATCAGTAACACACTACGCCGCCAGGGACTCAAATCCTGTAGTGCAAGACGTGTCCCCCTGCTTAAGCCAGTACATGTCCAGGCCCGTCTGAAGTTTGCTAGAGTGCATTTAGATGATCCAGAAGAGGATTGGGAGAATGTCAGATTAAACCAAAATATAACTTTTTGGTAAAAACTCAACTCGTCGTGTTTGGAGGACAAAGAATGCTGAGTTGCATGCAAAGAACACCATACCTACTGTAAAGCATGGGGGTGGAAACATCATGCTTTGGGGCTGTTTTTCTGCAAAGGGACCAGGACGACTGATCCGTGTAAAGGAAAGAATGAATGGGGCCATGTATCGTGAGATTTTGAGTGAAAACCTCCTTCCATCAGCAAGGGCATTGAAGATGAAACATGGCTGGGTCTTTCAGCATGACAATGATCCCAAACACACCGCCCGGGCAACGAAGGAGTGGCTTCGTAAGAAGCATTTCAAGGTCCTGGAGTGGCCTAGCCAGTCTCCAGATCTCAACCCCATAGAAAATCTTTGGAGGGAGTTGAAAGTCTGTGTTGCCCAGCGACAGCCCCAAAACATCACTGCTCTAGAGGAGATCTGCATGGAGGAATGGGCCAAAATACCAGCAACAGTGTGTGAAAACCTTGTGAAGACTTACAGAAAACGTTTGACCTGTGTCATTGCCAACAAAGGGTATATAACAAAGTATTGAGAAACTTTTTTATTGACCAAATACTTATTTTCCACCATAATTTGCAAATAAATTAATTAAAAATCCTACAATGTGATTTTCTGGAAATATTTTTCTCATTTTGTCTGTCATAGTTGACGTGTACCTATGATGAAAATTACAGGCCTCTCTCATCTTTTTAAGTGGGAGAACTTGCACAATTGGTGGCTGACTAAATACTTTTTTTCCCCACTGTAGCTGGACCATCTGTCACTCTGTGAGCACAGCAGCTACTGGCTCCTACAGAGAGGGCCATGCAGAGCAGCAGAGTATAGTACACATGCACACTCACACAGTACATGCATATGCAACACAAACATAAACAGACAGGAAGCTAGCTACTGTATTATGTAGTGCAGTCTATGTCATTCATTAGTGGGACAGGCCAGGGACAGATGGAGATAGTGCTCATGGAGCGGAAAGCTAAGCATGAATAGACTCGACAGCATGTAGTCCTAAAAAACGGAAATGAGTTACCTCTGGTTCGTTTCTATGGGGGAAATGAATGAGGAAAGAATGGGGTTTTGGGATAAACGCCGAAAATAAGGTCTGAGGTTAACACAGGCTTAGAAGTTCCTATACGTTTTGTTCTATGAGATAATATCAGTAAATCATTCATTTACTCATTCATTAATTCATTAGTCAGTTAACATGACCTTCATGAATTACGAAACCTTTAATGTGCTTTACATGCTTTTTTAAATTACATAAATGCTTCAGAATTCACAAAAAGTGACGTTAGCTGATGAAGATTATTTCATAGAACAAAACGTATAAGATCTCTTAAGCCTGTGTTGACCACTGACTTTATTTTCTGCGTTTATCCAAAAACCCTACAAAAACTCCTTTCATTTGCCAATAGGCTTTTCCCAACTAACCATGGCAGAGTGCCTACAAAAAGACACCATTACTATTTCTCTCTATTCACAATATATACGTATAATATATATCCCCAGTCTGTCCTGTGTATTTCCACCCACATCCTATAATGAGCAGCTGTGTGATGAATTCTCTGTATGTGTCCCTCAGTGCGTGTGTGCGTGTGTGCGTGCGAGGGTGTGTGTGCGTGTGTGATGTGTTTGTGAATCTGGGCAGCCCTTTGACAGTGTTGCTAGCCTGCTGAGAGAGAATTCCCCTGGGATAGAGAGAGCGAAGAAGAGAGGCAGAGAGAGAGAGAGAGATGAAGAGAGAGTGGTCCCCTGGATTACAGCCCCTGCCTCTAGAAATACTCCAGTCACTCATCAGAACAACAGTCTGCTGGCAGGGACAGGCTTTACATACATTTGGACGAGTTGAGTTAGAGTACATGAATACAGAACTGTAGATGCACTGTTTATGTGTCAGGTAGCATTAGCTGAGTTAATGGGGAACTAAACAAAATGGTGGACAGGCAAACCCAGGAGCTTTCTACCTGGTGCTGCTGTCTAATTCAATTACATTTAAGATCATTTTTGTATTTCGACCTACTTAGTCCACCTGTCGGCTCTCCCTAGTAATGAGCCTGGGGATGAGGTTAGACCTACTTCATTTTTTTCTTGATATGGTTTGAGTGCGAGTAGCTTTTAGGTTTACATTGTTGTTTAACTCCAACTCACCCACTCCCAGTTGCTCCAGCAGGGCCTTGAACTCTGGCCTCTCCTCCAGGACCCTAAGGAGGTGGGTGGGCTCCATGCGCTCCAGCTCCACTCTCCAGTAAACATAAATCTTGTGGTTGAAGCTGACGTACACCAGACAGGGGCTGTTCTTGCCATCCTTACAGGTGTACTGACCTGTTAAACACCAAAATGTAAGGCTGATCAGACAACCACAGGGAAGAAGGCCATTTTGAATGGACATAAGCAAATATTCCATGACTAGGGGCCTGAGTTTTCACTAATCACATGTCCTAATCAGGAAAAACTCCAGGCCCTAGTCATTACAGTAAAATATACATTCAGTGACAATAGGAGATGCTTTGAAATGGGATTGTTCAAATCAAATAAATCAAATCAGATGTTATTTGTTACAGGCGCCAAATATAATAGGTGCAGACCTTACCATGAAATGCTTACTTACAAGCCCTTAATCAACGATGCAGTTTTTAGTGGACACTGGCCTATAATAACGCGTGTTTCTCAAGCAATGCCAACAGTGGTGAGGCTGAGCTAATGCACTCCAATGACCACAGAGACAAAGCATGGATGACCCCTGAGTGTGTGTTGTTCACACACTGACTCTGATAGCACTGTAGAATGCAGGCAGTGTGCTTGAAGATTAAGTCCTGTCTGTAGCTCCAACATAGCCTCATCGTTACACATTCTGCATTTATTCCTTGTGTTATTATTCTTTACTTTCTATTCTCTGCGCTGTTGGAAAGCGCCCGTAAGTAAGCATTTCTCTGTTACTCTACACCTGTTGTTTACGAAGCATATGACATTATTACATTTTTTGGGGATTCGATTATCTTGGCCATTTCTTTAATCCTCGTATTAGATAACAATATGATCTCGCTCTGCTCTCAGAGAGGCACTGGGGCTCGTGCAGAAATTGGAGAGACAGCATTTGACAGAGAGCAAGATAGACGGAGATCCAGACGATGAAGCTTGTTTATGTGAGCCTGAAGTCCAATACTGCCATCTAATGGTGACATGAGCTGGAAACTGTACTAATACTGTCTATATCATTTGCTTAGTCATCACGTAAATCAGGTGTACATAGGTGAGGGATCTGACAAGAATGAGTGGTTCAGAATGAGATCTCACCTGCACAGAAAGCATTGACGTTCTCGTCAAACTGGAACCGCACCACCATGCGGTTGTGGTCGATGATGTAGGTCTGACCATCCCAGGCACACGCCACCACCTCCTCTCTGCCGTCGCCCTGAAGACAGAGGCACAGTCACAATGTCAAAAACCACACGGGCACAGACAGTCACTATAAAAACGTATATTGTGTTTGTTAACTCACTGTGACGTCCAGCTTCTGCAGAGCAAAGAGCTGGTGAGCCACCTGCACTGACCACTTCAACTGCTCTGAACTGTCCATCAGTTTCAGTGTGCCTGGAACAGAAAAACACACAATTCACATACTAAAAATGACTAACATTTTATGCTTAATATTGTTAATGGCATCAAGAGTATTGTTTAAACTGCATATAATACAACAGTCTGAGAAAAAACACAGAACTTAAACAACCCAAGACCTGCAGATCACTGGTTCTCACAGGGTTAAGGAAAACATTAAAGCCATAGAAATGGAATGAATTATTTTTATGGTTATAGCAGCACTCTGAGTGACAGACCCCAGCATAGTCATCTAAATGTCTCCATCCCTGAGTTCGAAGCAAGGAAATAGGGCAAAATTGAAGGTAACCTTTATTCAACACCATTTCTGTCACTCAATCTCTCCTGCAAACACCAACAAGCTTTGAATCTAAATCCAAATACTTGGAAAAATCGTCTTCAATTTAAACTGCAACATCATAAGTCACCTGTTTTTCCAACCTTAAATGTAGAATTGTTTAAATAAAATGGCTGAAATATGATGTGGTTACATTTCACTATTCCCTCAACAAAATTCCTCAAACGTTGATCCTAATTAGGTCACACAGGCATGTCAAGCCCTCTCTTGCAGCATCATTATTAGCGTATCTGTGACTGGCCCAGACTCTCTAGTAAGATAATCATATTGGTTCCCCTCTTCTTTAAATATTGATAGTCTTTCCAGGAGCTCACAGGGCCCTCAGCCTGCTCAGCTACAACAAACCAGTCTCCTCTGGTAACACAGACCCACAACACCTCCCTCCCTTCTACATGCCTTTCCTAGTTCTGAGTGACCTTGTTAAAAACATTAATTGGTGAGAGTAAGAATGGTCTTCCTTTTCACCTTAAGGGGGCAGCGGAGCAGGCTAGGCAGCTCTGTGAGCTGGCAGATACACTGCCTGTCAGACATGTTCAGGTTCTATAAGGAGGATTAATATACAGGGTCATTGCTTTTGAGATAAACAGATCAGCCAGGTATCTCCACAACGACAAGTCATATAAACCTTCGATCTGCTCATCATCACTATGAAAAACTCACATAACAGCAGAGTGGAAGTACCTCTTTTTTTTTTGCTGAGCCCAGTGAGGTTATGATTTTTGGTATTTTATTAGGATCCCCATTAGCTGTTGCAAAAGCAGCAGCTACGCTTCCTGGGGTCCACACAAAACATGAAACATGACATAATACAGAACATTAATAGACAACAGCTCAAGGACAGAACTACATAAATGTAAAAAATGTCGCTCATTATTTTAGAAGATAATTGACTGCCGTGTTGTTAACATGTCCTATCTGAACACATCCTCATTAGGATTCCGTTATGAGACGGACTGAGTACAAAAGGTCAGTGGTGTAATTAGTGAATGACGCAGCGGTGCTCTTCTGAACAACTTAACTAAGACACTTACCATCTAGAGTGCAGAGGGCAAACAGGCCGCATTTAGAGGAGTCTCCTTTGGAGCCTCTGCTTATGCTCCCGATGAGATGAGTGGAGACGTTCTTGTTGTGGATCCGACCAGTGGTCAGATGCAGAATGACGTCTCTGGCGGGACCCTCGCTGTGAAAGGCACATTACAAACACAGGACGATACCAACATGAACTGGCACAGCTTATCTATCATTAGACAGCCAAAGCTCTGTTACATGTCTACTACTGTGTACTGTATGTATCAATATATGCAATAGGTCCTCTGCATGTCCAGTGGTCTGTACCTGCCAGGAGTGGGTGGGGCCTCCTCCCCAGGCCCCGCCTCAGAGAAGCCCTGTTGTGTCCATGTGCACAGCAGGATGGCATAGCCACAGCCAGGCTGGGACACCATCAGTTCAGGAAGACCCTCGGGGTCAGGGTTCACTGACAGGCTGTCCACCTGTCACAGGAAGAAATAATGGATTAGCAATAGTAGAGTGTACACTGTACAGGATGTGAAATCATCCAGTGTTTTGTGTGGTTTATATGTAGAGCCAGAAGGGTTTCATACGAAGCAGGTTTGCGGAGTTAGTGAGTTAACTTTGGTCAACTCTGAGTTCAACTCGGGATAACCGGTCATAAGAAAGTGGATCACCTTTTAGCCAGGTCAATTTCTATGGCAACGAATCCTTCAGAAGGAACCTGCTACGGGGCAGGCTAACTCACAGATAACTCCACTTACCCTGAATAAAATGACTGAGCCACGAGTTGAGGACCAATTAATGTAAATCAGATTCCTTCCCTCTTGCAAAGATTGAGTCTTTACAAAATAGTAATGTTAAAATATATCATATTACACATTTAGTAATGATAGAATGCATTTTAAACTTCACGCTATGTAACACTTTTGTATGACTTAATAAATAACAAATATAAATAGGAGTGGGAAAAAAGCTGCTTGTGCATTGATAAGCACACCAAAGACGGTATTAACGATTAGTTAGAAAATAAAGACGGCACTTCTAAAAGCCTATTTCACACCATAGCCTGCTGAACTCGCAAAATAACTTTTCTTTCATTTTTATTTACTGAACAAATTAAAATGTGGCACTGACTCATTCTTGGATTAATGTTTCAGCATTGTCTCAATGAAGAGTTTGGCTTTCGACTAACCATGAGCAACATGCACGCGCAGTTACAAGCCTGCTAGAGTCAGTGGCAGGCGGACAAACAATATCCACCGTCGTAGTATGGACGAAGCCTGAGCTAGAATGTAAAGCTAGCTGAAGCTGGTAAGTTTTAGAAAACCCTGAGTAGATTACTTCGTAGGATACCCCTCAGGAGTTTTTCAGTCTTTGATTGACATATTCCATGTTTGTGTATAGACCTACCTGTCCCTCCAGAAGCCACTTCTTCAGCAGAACCAGCTGTCCAGAGCCCAGGTCTGAAGAATCGGTGGGCTCCTCCCAGCGAAACACTCTCACCACACGGTCTGTGTAGCCCACTACAAGCTCACTGCGCCCATCCCCATCTGCAAAGCGTGTACACACACACACACACACACACACACACACACACACACACACACACACACACACACACACACACACACACACACACACGGTTGAGAATAAAGCAGTCAAAACAGAAGCAGTCAATTGCATTGAGGTTGCCTACATCTAGGACGAAATGGGTGCAGAACAGAGCGGTTACCTATGTCACTAATAAGGATGACTTTGGTGTTGGCAGGAATGTGCTGAGAGAAGCAGGGCTTCTGGTCATCAGAGAATAGCGCCTCCTGCTGGCTGGATGAATCTGACTTGGCTCCACCCACTGCAGACAGGTCAAACAGGTGAAACCATCCCTCTGCACCCACAGCAACTACAAAGTTCTGATGGATAAGTAAAGGCAGTGAATAGTTAGTGATAGCACTCATTGGATGCAAGGGGGAAATTACACACAAATATTCCTCATCTGACTCGAGGACTATGCACAGTTTTTGCACACTCACCCTTCCTTTGTTGCAGATGTCTCCAACACCAACACAGGTGAGCTAAAAAAGAAACAAAAAAGATAACTCATTAAATATTTGTCTAAATCTGCAAAAATACCAATAGGCAGTGGTGTTCAAATTCCCTCTTTTATGCCACTTGTACTTAATGTGCCGACATTTAAACTCAAAGAGGGGTGATCAAATGCCCGCTAAGCAGCCACTTACCATGCCCACACATGTTCTAGTGATCCAAGGCTTGGAGTCATCATTCTTGTACACATGCAGCTTTCCACTGGTGTCACCCACGATAAGTTCATTCAGCTGTTAAAAAAGAATAACACAGTTAATGTCAAGGTTTTGGTGTCAAGGCCATGGGTAGTCACAGTCAGGACATTTTGTTTCCATAGATATAAGACATGTTGTGATAAATATGCTGAAGATCAAGGAACGTGATAAGAGTACTGTTATGGCATCTACTATTTCACTCTTAGCCCTCTTATCGTGACTGGAGGGAATGAGTCAGAGACCCTCTAAAGCAGGAGTTGCTATTTACAGTACAGGGACTAGAAAGGCACAGCTGGACAATGAATGGGCAAGTGAAGTCTATGACTTCGGAAAAATGATTTATATGTTGCCACATAGGGGGGAAATAACTGATTAAAAAAAACAAGTTGATACATGTCATTGGTTCGCCTACAATATGTATAACTGGCCCTAGGAGGTGGATACACTAACACCGTGAGCATTGAGACTACACACATTTTTGCAAGGATTGCCAATGTCTGAAAACATGGGACCTAAGGAAAGATCCCTGAATAATTGTTTAGCTGCTGACACTTTACCGAGTCATTGTCCGCATCACCAAGACAAATTGCATGAGGGAAAAGGGTTCCAGTGAAATCCAAACTAACACGCTGAACATAGCTCAAGGACCGCATATCACCAGATAACAGTTTGACAGCTGAGCTGGACACAGACAGATGCAATTTGCACCATCCAAATGCAAGTTAGAGAAACGTCAAGTAGTTAGCTGTGTTAAAGCGTATATTTAAGCGTTGCTTCTGCTTTTAAATTTGGCGTGATAACTATTATTAACCATAACCATTAAAAACAACAGAAAGCTGAGCTGAACCTGTAAAACGTGCCTGTTTATACGCTCTTCCTTAAACAAAGCACACGTGACAAAAAAAGTACGGAAACTTACTTGACACAAGCTTCACGCGTTTTGTAATTTGCGATTCGTATGGTCAAGTGGATATATTTATTGTAATCCTACATATATCGTTAGTTAATGAGAAAAAAAATAAAATTAAACAGCCAATGTTATATTATAAAATAATCCTGCATTTGTATTTATGCACAAATACTGAATCCCACCTAGCTGATTATTCAATTGTTAATAATATAGCCTAATGTCACATTCACATGTAGCTTAGTAATTCCAGAATATGATATGAGTGTAAATGATCAATTATAATGTCAGTAAGCTAAAAGCATAACGTGGTAGACTGCTGTGGGCATTAAACCAAAAGGTTTAAAAACTCAGTACAACTGCCGTTAAGTGGTTACTCATCGGGTTGCATTTGGGTGAAGCACTGTCAATCCTCTAGAGGGTGCTGCAGTACAAGACAAAATATTTTCCAACTATTTCACCTCATCCATACTGTCAAGGGACCCAAGGCCCTTCTGACCCATGTGACCCTTTAAGTGAGGAACACAAGCCAGCATTGGTTTGCCTATATATTAGGCCTACATGTTTGAAAGGCCTACATTTGTTGGCATATTCTCAGAAGTGTGGAGCAATTTCAGTGCACACAACAGCATGTGGATATTTACTGCAGCAGAGCAGCTCTTTTCAGTGATCTCTCTCTCTCTCTCTCTCTCTCTCTCTCTCTCTCTGTGTGTGTGTGTGTGTGTGTGCCAAACAACTGGCTAGGTACTGCTATTTTTTAGACTTTATGGGAAGCCTAGCTATGTGGAGGAGAAGTTGCTTTTTGTTGCATCAAAGACCTTTGAAATGTTTGAACCCTTTATGATGTACCGGTAATGTGATTTGTGGATTCAAATAGAGTATTTAAAATGTGTGTGTGTGTGTGTGTGTGTGTGTGTGTGCGTGTGTGCGTGTGTGCGTGCGTGTGTATGTGTGTGCATGTGTGTAAAGAGCAGAACAGGTAGTCACGACCCATTAAACAGCTGCACATCACTGGCCACAGACAGGATTGGATGATTGTCCACGTCGACTGTAGGGAATTTCAGATAAATATTCAGTTCAGCATCTATTCAATAGGCTAACATCTGAGAGAAGTTGATTCAGATTGCTCAGATGCCTTGTGATGGCATGGTTCATTACCATTCACTCCAGATGTTCTTGACAGGTCTCATGAATTAATCAAATGCATAGCACAACACTTTTCTTCAACTCAATCAGTAAAACTTCACAAAAGTAAATGTTGAAATACGTCACCAAAGGCATCAGATAATGTTTAAAGTAGCTTAATTTAAACGTCCAAAACTTTCAAAATATATGCTAGCTAGATGACACTGTCTTATTTCAGATATGGTCTTTCATCTAAAAACTCTAGTTTGGCAAACTTGAATAGTTCATGCAGCTGAATACAGGCTATGCCCTTCAAACTTTTTTATTTAGACATATTCATTTATTGAAATTGTTAGTAAAGATACATTTGAGTTTTGATAACCGTGATCACTGTGTTTGTATTTACCTTCTAAATGCATTCAGTGGGGGCTTTTCACTTTATTGTAAGACTGCTCTGTTGTAATGCACCTGCAGAAATGATACAAAGAAGAGTCAGTGCCATGGGCGACCCCAAACGACCACAGTATATTAAAAAAAACCACCACAATTTAGTTTTAACAGCTAACAAATTGAAAATTAATCCCGCATATCACATAGGGGTTATTTCCCAGGACAAATGGGCCCTTATGAGTTTTGTTTATGATGTCTCAGTGAACTCCAAAAGCAGAAAGACAGAGGTGTTTCAATGGAGACTCGGGCGCCCAGATGTCATATTAATTATTACACTCGGCTATGACTGGAACCTTCGAATAGAGGGAGCGTTTTGCCTGCCTCTGGAAGATCTGCAGTGGAAAAAAAGTCTTTACAAAGCGCTAATTGGACTCTGGAACCGCACTGACAGGGCATGGTAGATAGGTTTCAGAAAGCCGACGATGGCGAGGGGGCTGGGGGAAACTGAATAGAACCCACGCTTCTTTTCTAAACTCTCTTGCTGTGCCAAAAAGGGGAGGAAAAAGAAAAGAAAAGTTGGTGGGGGCTGGGTTCTTCAATGCAGGCTTGATTTTGAATGCCACAGCCAACACAGAAAATTTTCACAATTTACCCCCTCCCCTCAAATACACACACACACACACACACACACACTCATCCCCATGAGTGGAGTCGGTTGGTTTTGTTCTGACTGAAAGACATGTTCTATTATGCTGCCTTTTAAAAGAAAACAAAATTGTCGAAATACACTGTGTCGAGTCTATACTGTAACAAAATAGGGTGTATCAAATCATACACAAAACATCCTCGAATCCTTCTTATGGCCCCTCCTCAGATTTACCCTTCCGTTCCGCCTCTCCGATGGTGATGATTAGCTCTAGCCTAATGAAAGTGGAAAATTCGCCTCTGCTGGACAAAGCTCCATTCTTCGAAAGACGAAGCATTCAAATGCGGTTGTAAAAGTGTTAACAATAAACTGTGGGTCATCCAAGACTGTGGGGTCTGCTTGTGCTTGCCAACCCGACTGTGTTCCAAACAACTTACAGTCAATGGGGTCTATAAGGTATACCTTATAGTATACTGCCCATATGGAATGTACAGACAATGCAAACAACTAAATCTTATCATCTTTGATAAGCGCCTTTAAGGTCTGCCGGAGTTTGGGAGCTGCCTTTCAGCACTACTTTTCGGTCCACTTGGGAAATTGATTATCTGCGAGCGTAAAAAGCTAGGATAGCCTAATAGGTTCGCTTATATAAGCTATTTTAAAAAGTGATATATACTAAAAAAGTTCATAAGTTGTTTGATTCACCCATAAAGGGACACGTTTTACTCATTTTACGCATAAAATGAAATTACACCTTCTTTGTCTTTCGATCTATATCTTATTTTATATTCTCTCACACTGTGGCCAACTTTTATGAACCTCAGTCTCTCATTCGCCATGAAACAATTATATTATCTAGCTAATAAGGTGCATTTCTGAACGCTCTATTTTTATGCATTTTATATGAGGAGCATTTTGGAACCTTCGCGAGTAATCATGCGATCCGGTGGTAGATTCCCAAAGCATAGTTGAATGAAAAGTAACATTCTATTACTGCTCAAAACTCTCAAGACATCTGGAAGAAGTCTGCATGCTGCAACCAGTTGTGCTTTGGCGACTGTTTGTTCAGTGGTTCAAGTGGCACGCGTCCGGCGTACGCGTTGCAACAGAACAGGAGCCAAGGTGAATACAACTAGCGAGAGGAGGAGGCGTGGTCAGGTCCAGCGCGTGGGGCTGCCAGTGTATAAGCCCCGGCTACTAGCCTTTCTGAGGACTCAGTTCAGACTGAGGAGTGTGCGAGGCAGAAGCCCACAAGACCGCCCATTAAACAAGGCTAAAGTGAGTATTAAGCCACACGTGAACGCCACGAGCAGGACGCACTGCTACCGAACAATCCAAAGAAGAACTCTGAAATTCTCTACAACTCTTCTTTTTTATTTTTCAATTACTTGCCAATGGACATCACAGCCAAGATGGAAATAAATGTGAGCCAGCAGCAGTTCATGCCGCCCTCCTGCTTCTTTGCTGCCGCAGCGCAGAGCATCCAGCTCAGCCCGACCAGCAGCCAGGGGAGCGGCAAGTCAGCATCCAAGGTGAAGAGGCAGCGCTCATCCTCGCCGGAGCTGCTAAGATGCAAGAGGAGGCTGAACTTTGCGGGCTTTGGGTACAGCCTGCCGCAGCAGCAGCCACACACCGTGGCGCGGCGGAACGAGAGGGAGCGCAACAGAGTGAAACTTGTCAACAACGGCTTCGCCACTCTCCGGGAACACGTCCCCAACGGCGCAGCCAACAAGAAGATGAGCAAAGTGGAAACGTTACGGTCGGCGGTGGAGTACATTCGCGCACTACAGCAACTTTTGGATGAGCACGACGCCGTGAGCGCAGCGTTTCAGTCCGGGGTCCTGTCGCCCAACAACTACCCCAACGAGATGAACTCCATGGCAGGCTCTCCAGTGTCCTCCTACTCGTCCGATGAGGGGTCCTACGACCCTCTCAGTCCCGAGGAGCAGGAACTCCTGGACTTCACCAACTGGTTCTGAGCATCTGTAGCCTATAAGGTGAGAATGTTGTTTATAATGGGCCTATCATTCATATTATACAAGTACTGTATTATGCATTGTTATAATGAATATTTGCATTATTCCGTTTTCAAGATCAATTGAAAACAACTGAACGAATGTCTTACCTCCTTTTTCTTATTCGTTATTATAGGAATATGGATCAATTGAATTATGTATACTCTCAGCATGCGCTCGGGAGGGTCACAGAGGAGCTCGCGCCCTCCAGAACAAGAAGCACTGAGCTGGCGTTCTGCTCCGGTCGTCCACGACCCAGTCCACTTAAAGGAACGGCCTTGCAACCGGAGAAACTGCGGACATGCAGGCCAGTGTTCAGCCAAGCGCCAAAGGACTAAAAAGAAAACGGGTTCTCCATGTCTGACAGCGTGGGAATCCAACCTTCCAGTGCATTCGCCCATGAAAACAACATTTCAAAAGTGATTTTACAACAACACACAAAACATTATTTAAAATGTTGTTCTCAAACTATGCTTAATCCAATCAAAGAACATCAACCCTTCTTTGTAAACTCCTGTGACATTTAGTTCTAAAATGCTTCCATTGTGCGGATTTTATTATATGAAATTCTATATCAAACATGTTTTTGAAATATATTAAGATATTTTTGTATGTAAAGAGATTTTTTTTAGATGTTTTCTTTTGTATATATTTATATTGATAAGTTGCTATTACCTCTTGCCTATTTTAGATTGTATAATGCTCTGCAGCTGGCTATTCTGTGTATGGTCATTGATTCATGAGGTTTCAAGAAGGGGTTTGACACTCCGACGTTTTATTTTAGCACCAATGTGTCTTATTTAATAGGAAATACATGTTATTGTACATGGAGTTCACGATGATCAAAGGTTATGCAGCTATTGTCCAAACAGAGCACAATGGCGATTCATTGTATATGTCAATACTGCCAGCTCTACACTGCCTTTACTTATATCATGTTGGTTGAAAAGAGAAAAGCCTATAACCATATTTTCTACACTCTAGTCTCATAATAAAACATTTTCTAGTATTTCCTTTTGTACCTCAAACTTTTTTACGTTTGCATTTTACATTCACTTTTAGTTACAGTGTGTTTTTGACTGGAGATGGAATGGGAGAAAGGATATAGGGGGATGAAACACAGGGGGAATTAAATATATTTCTGTTGCATTTTTTAATGGAAATGTAACCTATTTTACGCAGAGTTCCACCAACGAATTCATGCCGTATCACACATTTTACGCGCGTCTCCATGTGCGTAAAAAAAACGGTCCATTCTGTAATATAAGGTATTAACATAAAAATAGAGTAATACAACAATAGTAAATTCGATTCCTCAAGAATCCAATAGGCCTGTTTCTAGCCCAAGGACACTTAATGTGTTGATAATACGTCAGAGACGTGTCAAGAATATAGGAGCGTTCATGATGCAAGTCAATTCTGTTGTGCACCAGCTCAATGCTGCCGTGCGAAAGAGAAAAATATGTAGCTACAGCCCAGCACACAAAAACCCCACTTGAAAAAGTCCCAGTTGTGACAATGACTCCGTCAGTCCATCTATGTCATCCTCTCAATGAAATCCCTTACAATAAACTCTAAAATCAACTTTAGTAAATGAAACTGTATAAATAACAGTGAATTCTATCAGTTTACTATGTTTTTGGAGCCTCTAATATATTGTGCAATTCTGTAAAACAAACAATCCATGCCTATTTGTAATTTAAACATACTTATTTCGTTGACAAACCATCAAAATTAGGATTTTGAATCATATACAACTTTAGGGTTTACGCTCTGAAAATAAAGTTAATTGCAATAACAAGAAAAAACGTAAAGCTTGAAAAGTTATTGTCGTTTAGCCTACGTGTAATTTGTTTCACCTGTGGTAAGATGCAGGTGCCTACAGGGTAAAATAAGACATTCAAACAGTTTTACAAAGAGCACACATAACATTTTACTCCATTGCACTCTGTAAAGTGCTAAGGTGCCAATATATTTGACCGCAACTGAAGGCTATATATTGAAACTTAAGCATAATCAAAGAGAAGGAAATAATTTGCAGTTGTTTAGTTATATTCATTATAAAAGTTGGCACTTTGTAGGCTTGTTTGCCTTGGTTTGTAAGATTTAATCAATGAAACAGAGACCGATTAAATATTTTAGATGAAAATATGTGTAGTTCAGGTACCTATCCATTCTCTGCGGCCAAGAAGCATCGAGTTTGACAGGTAGGGACGCGTTTGCTTCAAGGCGCGTGCCTGGTTTAATGAGTGAATGCGGTTGTATAGCGGTCGAGTGGAGACAGCGCATTGAATTGGCTGACGGCGTGTGCCTTTCCTAATGCAGCGCTCGGCTAGCACTGAACTGCATTTTTACACAATCCAATATGACCCATGGCCCGTCTAGCCATCTCTATTTAGAACAACAATCCAATATGACCCATGGTCCTTCTAGCCATCTCTATTTAGAACAACAATCCAATATGACCCATGGCCCGTCTAGCCATCTCTATTTAGAACAACAATCCAATATGACCCATGGCCCTTCTAGCCATCTCTATTTAGAACAACAATCCAATATGACCCATGGTCCTTCTAGCCATCTCTATTTAGAACAACAATCCAATATGACCCATGGCCCGTCTAGCCATCTCTATTTAGAACAACAATCCAATATGATCCATGGCCCTTTTAGAAATCTCTATTTAGAACAACAATCTAATATGACCCATGGCCCTTTTAGCCATCTCTATTTAGAACAACAATCTAATATGACCCATGGCCCTTCTAGCCATCTCTATTTAGAACAACAATCTAATATGACCCATGGCCCTTCTAGCCATCTCTATTTAGAACAACAATCTAATATGACCCATGGCCCTTCTAGCCATCTCTATTTAGAACAACAATCCAATATGACCCATGGCTTTTCTAGTCATCTCTATTTAGAACAACAATCTAATATGAACCATGGTGCTTCTAGCCATCTCTATTTAGAACAACAATCCAATATGACCCATGGCCCTTCTAGCCATCTCTATTTAGAACAACAATCCAATATGACCCATGGCCCTTCTAGCCATCTCTATTTAGAACAACAATCCAATATGACCTATGGTCCTTCTAGCCATCTCTATTTAGAACAACAATCCAATATGACCCATGGCCCTTCTAGCCATCTCTATTTAGAACAACAATCCAATATGACCTATGGTCCTTCTAGCCATCTCTATTTAGAACAACAATCCAATATGACCCATGGCCCTTCTAGCCATCTCTATTTAGAACAACAATCTAATATGACCCATGGCCCTTCTAGCCATCTCTATTTAGAACAACAATCTAATATGACCCATGGCCCTTCTAGCCATCTCTATTTAGAACAACAATCCAATATGACCCATGGCTTTTCTAGTCATCTCTATTTAGAACAACAATCCAATATGACCCATGGCCCTTCTAGCCATCTCTATTTAGAACAACAATCCAATATGACCCATGGCCCTTCTAGCCATCTCTATTTAGAACAACAATCTAATATGACCCATGGCCCTTCTAGCCATCTCTATTTAGAACAACAATCCAATATGACCCATGGCCCTTCTAGCCATCTCTATTTAGAACAACAATCCAATATGACCTATGGTCCTTCTAGCCATCTCTATTTAGAACAACAATCCAATATGACCCATGGCCCTTCTAGCCATCTCTATTTAGAACAACAATCTAATATGAACCATGGTGCTTCTAGCCATCTCTATTTAGAACAACAATCCAATATGACCCATGGCCCTTCTAGCCATCTCTATTTAGAACAACAATCCAATATGACCCATGGCCCTACTAGCCATCTCTATTTAGAACATAAATTAAGCAAAAATGCCCCCAGTCATCAAGCTAGGTAAGAGATCATTATTAAATATGTTTAAGTGATTGATAAGACTGAACTAGATCAAAGCTAATTCAATGATCAATATTGTGTTGCACCTTTAACCAATAGCCTAACAAATTAACAACTCTTAAAAAAACAGTTGGGCTGAAGTTAAACCATTTGTTGCGTGCAAGCTGCAAGGGGGAATATCGTCAGAGTGCCAGGTATTGTTCACCATTATTACATTTACGTCATTTAGCAGACGCTCTTATCCAGAGCGACTTACAGTTAGTGAATACATATTTTTATTATTTTTCTTTATGTCTTTTTTTATTTATTTATTTATACTGGCCCCCAATGGGAATCGAACCCACAACCCTGGCGTTGCAAACGCCATGCTCTATCAATTGAGCTACATCCCCGCTGGGCCAATTGTACGCCGCCCATGAGTCTCCCGGTCGCGGCCGGCTGCGATAGAGCCTGGATTCGAACCAGGATCTCTAGTGGCACAGTTAGCACTGCGATGCAGTGCCTTAGACCACTGCGCCACTCAGGAGCTATCAGCTCTGAAAGGGTTATTGCACAGCAGTTATTAACTTGTGATGTTACCACAATACAACATATAATTCCTTGACACCAAGATGAATAGCATAGCTGATGTTTCATTAACGATTTATTCGGTAAAAATGTAGTCACATAAAGATATATTCTAAGGCATGGCTACTTGGCCTACATATTATTTGAAGAGAGCCTACTATTACATAAAGACTGTGCATTGTGCATAATGCACCATTATCCAACTCTCTAGGGGGACGATTACTGATTTTAAATCCATTGCTGAGACCAAGTTTTTAATAGACAGGACACAATGTGTTTTTTCTGATAGTGTTATGTCAGGTTTCCTTGATATTACGAAAGGTGTCCCACAGCGTTCGAATTTGGGTCCTGTACATTTTACTAACTACACAATTAAACAATATTGGTTTGTCTGTCAAAAATTGTAACCTTCACTTGTATGCGGGCATACTGCTGTGTATTCTGTTGACGAGGCTCTATCTGATCTTCAGTCTGCCTTCATTGATTTACAGAAAACCTTTATTGACCTCAAACTAGTACTGCAGTATACGTTTTCTAGAGCACATGTACTTTAGATTGTGCCCATGTTGATTGTGTCCCTGCTTACAAATATCTGGGCATCTGGATAGATGATGGGCTGTCTTTTAAAAAGCGTATTGATGATTTAGTGAAGAAGTTGAGAATAAAAATGGGCTTCTTCTATAGAAATAAGTCCTGCCTCTCGCTTAATAGTAGAAAGCAGAAAATTCAATCAATGTTCCTACGGTTCCTAGACTATGGTGACATCATCTATATCAGGGGTGTCAAACTCATTTTAGCTCAGGGGCCACATGGAGGAAAATCTATTCCCAAGTGGGCTGGACCGAAAAAATCATGGTATATATAACTTAAAAACAACAACTTCAGATTGTTTTCTTTGTTTTAATACGATCAACATACAACATAAAGCTGGAGCCTGAGGACAGTGTGTCCAAAATAGTACAAGCACAACATCACTATTAATCATAAAACACGTCAAGTTTATTTGAAAATTCTAAAGAAAAAGAACACACAAACACACAATGCCTCAGTGATTAACAGAACTGTTTCACAGATCACAGAACTATATCAGGGTGTCATTTCTCAGGCAGAAATGTAGATAAAAATAATGAAATCCTGTTCCCCAAACAAGTGCAAGAACC